CGGTCTGACCATTTGAACCGAACGGTCAGCCTGTTCTGACAAAAATAAAATAAAAAAGTTTAAAAAATAAAAAAATTAAAAACCGTCAAAACTATTCGAACGGTTTGTATGGTTAACCGCCCGAGTCAACGGTTTGTTGACCAAAATCAACAGTTTTTTGAGAAATCCTAGTTTTGGGGAAAAAATGGAACTGGTCACCAGACTGGTTCCCAGTTTTTCCGGTCTGACCATCCAGTCCAATCCGGTTTTGAAAACCATGGTCACACCTGAATCTCGACAACCTACATGGCATGTTAAGAAATCTTGATATTTTGATGAACCAATGATACTCATCCTCTTTACCCCCTTTGATTTTATTACCAAGTAATAATGTCATTAAATCACCACCACTAGCCTAGTCATATTGGTAATGATTTTATTACCAAGTGCTAAAGTATGGTGGGATGGATGGATTAGCTTTATATTGGTAATGATGTAGGTTTGCCCATCTTACATGTTAGATATTCTTCATTTCCTTCTCAAAATTGTCTTTTTCATCTCAATATTTTTCTACATAAAATTCAAATTACTAAAATTTATTTTCTATTAGTCAATTTGGTTAAGACAATTAATGGTTATTTCTTTAAATTTCACCATCCTTGATGAACCTCTTCATGCAAGGTCTCAATAAATATGGCATTTATTAGCTTTTACTTCATGGTGCACCATCTTCTTGTAGTTTTTTGCAAGGTTTTTAAAACTGAACTGAACAACGGACCGGTCAAGGGTTCAGTTCCCGGGTCAAATGGTCCGATCGTTCAAACCAAATAGACGACATGTTCTAGCAAAAAAATATTAAAATAAAAAAATGGCCAAAACCATTGGATAGTTCGAATGACTTGAACGGTTCGACTACTCGGGTCAGCGGTTTACTAACCAAATCAACATTTTATGACAAAATAATGGTTCTGGGGTAAAATGGAACCAATCACCTGACCAGTTCTTGGTTTTTCCGGTCCAGTCCAGTTTTCAAAATCATGGTTTTTTTATTTTATTGGAGAAAAGAATTTCCTTAGCTCACGACATTCTCGTCTAGGACATCTAGCTTTAGAGATGGTTCAACAAGTCGTTTCTACCTTTGATTTTTTAGTTGATCATGATATGCCATCTATTTGTCATCATTGTCAAGTGTCAAAGAGTTGTAGGTTACCTTTTTCTAATATTCATCATAGGTTTATTGCTCCATTAGATCTAGTGTATTTAGATATTTTGAGATCATCCCCCTTTGCATCTGAAAATGGATTCAAATATTACATTTTATTTTTATATGATTTTAGTTGTTATTCTTGGATGTTTTTCCCTATTGCCAACAAGTTTGATGTCTTGTGAACTTTCTTGCAATTTAAATTATATGTTGAGCATTTATTTTCTCATAATATAAAACAATTCTAATCTAATTGGGCTGGTGAATATCACTCTCTTGCTACTTACCTCGCTCAGTTGAGCATTTCTCTTTGTGTTCTTTTGTCCCTATTCTCATGGTGAAAATAGTGCACCTGAATGTAAGCATAGTCATATAATTGAAACATTTATTGTAACACAACCTCAAGTTTCTAAGTTCACATCTACCCCCCACGATGGGGCATGCCCTACAACACATCCCAACCTTGTATTGGGTACACCTCTCAATGACTAGGTCAGGAGATGATGAAACATCATCAGGAGATGTTCCCAATACAAGGTCGGGATGTTCTGTGGGACATTGTGGGGCGCCCCTTCATAGGGCGTAGATGTGAACTCCAAGTTTATCTCCTTTTCTCCTTTTAGGATGGTTGTATATCACATAATTATATAGGCTTCCCACCCCAATATTAAATGGCGTTTGTCCCTTTGGACTATTGTTACAAAAATATCCAAATTATTCTTTTCTTAAAATTTTTTATTGTGTTTGTTATCCATGCTTACATCCCTTCAACAAAAATAAGTTCAATTATCACTCCTTTCTACATATTTTCCTTGGATACATCCCCTCTCACAAGGGTTATTGTTGTTTCAATCCTACTTTTGGTCATACCATCATCAATTGAGATGTTGATGAGTTTGCCTAGAATGTTTTCTCCTATCTAACTCTTGTTCCTAATTCTACTCCAACAACTTTCACCTCAAGTCTATATATTTCTGGTCCCTCTATTTCGTCTTCCCCATCTCCTATTGAAAGCTCATCACCACCTTAAATATTGGGTCCTCTTTCTTCTCCTATAGTGATTACTCCCACTTTCTCTCCCCCACCTATCTATAATTCAGTCCTTGGATTCCATCATGCGAGATATGTTAGCTATACTTGTGCCAATTTGGTCTCACACAATGACCACTCAGTATATTTTACCTGGTATCCATTACCACTTGATTTGATTATCATGTTTCTAACATGCCACAAGAACCTTATTGTTTTTCATAGGCTAATAAGCAAATTGAATGGCATTGTGCTATGTGTGAGGAATTTGATGCTCTAATGTGAAATGGCTCTTGGGTTGTTGTTCCACCTTCACCTCATTTGAATATCATTGATTCCAAGTAGGTTTATTACACTAAACAAAATACTAATTGTAATATATGGACCTGTTCATGGGTTGGGCAGATATTACTACTGAAATCATTTGACTTTAGTTCCTTCTCCAAGAGCTCTGTGTTCCTCTCTTCTTCTCCTATTATGTGGTTCAATAATGTAGGTATAACCTACTTGGCTGCCAATCCTTTTTATCATGCAAGGGTGAAGCATCTTGAAGTTGATTTTCACTTTATTCATGACTAGGTTACATGAAGTGAGATTTTGGTTAGACACCTTTCTCAATGGATCAAGTTGCTGACATTTTCATCAAGGGCCTCCCTCATCTTTGATTCTATCTTTTATATTACAAACTCAACACTATTTTACGCCTGTTCTGTCTAAGGGGGCATATTAATGATAATGTCCCAACAATTATCGATAACTCAAGTTAAGTCTTATACAACTACCGAAGATTCATTTTAGTTTAGCATTCCTTAATGTTGTGTTTGGTTTGAAGGAAAAAATAGGGAAAGCTTTACAAACCCTGTACAGATTTTCCTACTTTTTCCTTCAAACCAAACATAGCATAAATGTTTATGTTTACATGGAACTCTAACAAACCTTGTGTATATATCTTACCCAAGGTTCAAAGTATTGACACGATATGCCTCATATCGGGCATATTGTATCACATCGTATCAGCAGGGGTGCCAAAACACTTATTTTTAAGGCTAATCCCAAAACCCCTTATTTTATACGTTAAACCATGTTTAACCTTCCCCTTGCCATATTTTTTGAAAAATAGGTAATGTGTGCGGTACAAAGTACTGATACATTCCTTCTGCTGTACTATCAAGTTTTATAGAGAGTTCAAATCAGCCCCCCACAAGACTGCGCCCCACATTGTCACACAATACATCTCCACCATGTATTTGGAACATCTCCAAATGATAACATCATCATTTCTGATATTATCATCGGGAAATATTTCCAATACACGACAGGGATGTACTGTAGAACGTTGTGGGTGCAGTCTTATGGGGGGTTGATTTGATCTCTTATATAGATACTTTGAACCTTGATCTTACCTTTTTGTAACAAATACATGACCATTGATTTGTCTCTCAAGTAATACCGCTCTCTCCCATTCTACAAATTGTTGCTTTGGATGCATCTACAGTGTTGCTTATTGAGATGCTACCATTGTTGTGTCCATGAAAATATCAATACCAAGAAACTTTAATTTAGGGCCTATTTGGATAATAACTGAAGTTGCTGAACTGATTGATTTATTGTTTTGTCTTTTAATGGATTAAATAATTAAAATAATAAAATAGTTGAGAGAATGGTAATCACCTAATTTCAATATAAGCTAATAAGGAGCTTACAACCTCCAACTTATTGCATTAAGTCATTTAGTTTAGCCACTTCACTTGTTATCAAACGGCCCTTTAGTCTTTTGGTTGATTTTTAATTTATTCATAATTCCTAAGTGTAAAAATACGTTCGACTCTTATCAATGACCGGATGAACAATTTAGTTGAATTACAGCATCGTTTAACCCAGATGACCAAGGGTTAGAATTTGTAGGCTCAAAGTACATTTGGGGTAGATGCCAGCTCGGAATTGATGCCAATTTACGGGCAGGTATGTGTGCATAGAGTGTGGGTTTTTGATCTTTTGAATGTTTATAGCTCTGCAATGGAAATCAGAAATCTGCATTGGGCCTATCCGTACTCCATTTTTTTTCCTTTTGTTTTTTAGACTCAATTTGGAAAGAATACAAATATGTACAGTGCAAATACATATCAAACAATACAAAATACAAGGTTTTGTACTCTACAAATTTGTATTTGTACTCCTTCCAAACTGAGTTGTAAGTTTTTTAAGTCGTTTCCATTATTATTATCATCATCATCATCATCATTAATAATAATAATAATAATAATAATAATAATAATAATAATAATAATAATAATAATAATAATAACTTATCACACTTAATTAGAAACATGCCCAATTTAATTTACAAACCTTATTTTATACACTATTATCTATGTTTGTATTTTTGTTATTTGATTCATGATGTCATGGTTTTCATGATGTATTAACCTGGACGATTACTTAACCAAAATAAACTGGACGATTGAACTGGTGATCCAGGTGAGGATTGTATCCACTAATAGTCCTTCCCCGGAATGCTAGATGAGATATGAACAATTAAGTTCTTATTAAGGGGTTACAAACTTACAATGCCATATTACATCTCCATGGTTTTCATGATGGATCGATGGAATCAATTCAATGATACAACAATGTATACATCACACCATTGGTTGAAGCCATCGACACAACAAAGTTCTTATAAAGAACTGTGACGGATAAATCATGTAAAATTAAAAGAAATCGAAACCAAAAGCCATGAAAACAGAAACATGTCTTCCTCTTTCCCCCCCTCTTCATTGACCCAACCCTATGGATTCTGCTGACCCTCTGGTTCTTGCAACGAAATAACTGTCTCAAAGGCTCCAACGAGAGCTAGAACCTTGTTCTTCCTCTTCCCCACAAGCTTACTGGCAGTTTCCTCAATCACATCGTTGTATGCCATAGCCTCTTTCTTCGCCTCAGTATTTTGGCGCTTCAAGGCAACATTCTCATTCTCCTGCTTCTTCTTATCAGTGCCTTCCACCTCTGGTCTTTCCTTCAATTCAATACCCTGGCTTTCCCCGTCTACTACTTCCTTCTCACTCAATTCTCTTCCTTCTTGGAGTTGGAGCGTCATCTTGTCAGGCTCCTCTTCGTTGCTGGGATCTTCTTTTCCTTTACAGCTACTAGGATTTTCGGTTACAATACCCACTTCTCCTTCCTTGTTCTCAGCCTCTTCCTGCACGTTTTTGCTTGCTAAAATTTCTTCAGGGTGTTCGTTTAGCTCCTCATTGTCTTCACCTTTGTTACCATGTCCCTCTTCAGGCCGATTGTCATCATCGTTTTGTTTGTCTCTTTTCTCCCGAGGTTGTTCTTGGGCATCCAGAGCTCGTTCTAGTTCTTCTAATAATGTGGAATAGCTAGACTGTTCGAGCTTCTCTTCAGTATTCTTTGATTCGGAAGCTAGGACTTCAGTGGTTTTTCTATCTTGGGCTTCTGGTACCTCAATTGGAATTTCTTTCTCTCCCTCAATTTTATTCATCTCTTCCTGCAAGTGCTCCTTTACTTGTTCCTCTTGTTTTCCCTCCGTTTCTTTCGTAAAATCAGGACTACTTGGGGTTGAGGTAGTGGGTGTCCTGCTAGTAGAAGATTTAGTTTCCTTTTCAGGATTGGTTTTTGGGCTCTTTTTCATGCTCCTTTGCTTTGCCAAGATTGGCTGACTCTTTACATTTTTCTGTTGTGTTTTGGATGTTTTATCGGAGATCAATCTTGGGGAGTTGACAGTTTTAGGTGAGGGACAATGATTATCGGAGATTAATCTTGGAGAATTCACTGCTTTAGTCGAGGGAGAAGAATTACCAGAGATTAATCTTGGGGAGCTGACAGTTTTAGTTGAGGGAGAAGACACTGATTTAACTGTTCTGGGACTGCTTGTTTTTAGAACTTGAGATAGTGATGATAGAGGCCTGTCAAAGGATCTTCTTGTAAGCAACGTCTTATTTTGTTCAGGGGTTTCTTTCTTTCCATGTTTAGCATCAGAAGCTGAGCTTTTTGTAGGCTTGAGATAGTTTGGAATTGATTTGTCTGATAGCACTGAACTATCCTTTTCAGGAGAGCTTGCATTGGAGGGTTTTGGAGTTCTTCTTCCCTGAGGGTTTTCATTAATGCTTCTAGGGGATGAATGTGATAAGCTGCTCTTTTCTTTTCCTTGAGCAGCAGACTTTCCTTTTGTAGCCATGAGGTGAAGTGGGGGTGACCTATACATATACAAAGGAAACAAAGTAAAGGAAGTGTCATCATCAATCCAATATATATAACAAAAATCATGACTACTAAATGAAAAAAGGTTATCAAAGAATGTAATGCATCAAGGAAAGAATAATGGCTAGGTTGCAGAGATTACAATCTATTGATGGGGAATAATGGAAATTCTAGATCAGACCCATTAACTCAATACACGCCACCATGCCTTTTCCAGCATGTTTAGTTTACATTACTCGGATCAATTAAACAAGTTTGGGAGAATTCAGTTAATCCTTTGGGTGCAAACTACAAACACCAAGTTTCATTATGAAATTTACAGGATCAATTCAGGAAACCTTCCCTTATAAAACCATTTGATGCATTCTTATGACTGAAGCATAATCAAGATAGAGTTTTGCCCATTCAAATCTTCATTCAAAGAGGTCTGTTGATTATGAAATTAAAATCAATATGCATTATTTTTCTCCCTCTTAGAAACTATTTTAGAACTATAATGATAATAAGATATTTTCTAGAAAATACCAAGACACAGTAATCTTTTTTTTTTCCAAATATCAAGGAGATGATCAAGTGGTAGTGTAGAATTGATCTCTTTGAAGAACATTGAGGAAGTGCTGATTCATGCCAATGCACAGTAGGCATGAATTTACCATAGAGAAAGTATTGCCAGACTCAACTCAATGAGCAAAATGGTTTTATGTCCATTGACAGTGGGAAAAAGAACTATTAGGCTTGAACATTGACATTGGATTAGGTATAACTCGGATTTGAGCTTAGGTTAGGGTTGGACTTTGAATGGACCTAACCCGACCCAAGCAATCTCTTGCGTAAATACATAGATACACACATACTGACATGCATTTAGTAATAACAAGGCAATTTCTGTGGCGTTGTTGTAATGCTTTGGTACCTGAAAAACTTTAACCAATCAGAAACCCATGAAATTTGAATGAATACCAGTTGATTGGTTAAGGTCTCCCTTTTGAAGGTTTTAGAGTTTTATCAAGCCTTTCCACCTGAAGACAAGAAATCCTTGTTACCAAAAACCCTTTCATGTTGTGAAATCCTTGTTATCAAAAGCCATTTTCATATTGGAATTCAAATAATTCTGGCTGAATAAATGTTTTTGGGTTATTTCAGAAACCAAACAAAAGAATGAGGAAGACTGCATCCTGATATAACCCAAGTTTGGTCAATACAAATATACCAAACATCAATAAATTTAAAGCAGTTCTATAGTACAAGAACATGTTTTATGTAAATCTTGCACTTTTATGCTGTAAATGTTTCACCCTGAGACCATTTTATAATGAAGCAGAAAAACTTAGGAGGATATGGAGCAAAAGCTGCACTGGTAGAAACCCAACATTGTTCAAGAACATAGAAAGAAAATTCTGAAAATGCATTGTAGTATAAAAGGAAAACCTGATTTACATATAGATGAATATGTAAATCTTGCACTTTTATGCTTACCTTAGATCCAATTAATTAAGCTAACAGATTTTCTTCTCCATATCAAGGACAGATTTGTTCTTCACCAATTGGAAGGAACAAATGGACGAGAAGAGCCGAGAGGAGAAGAATGGAAGAGGAAGGAAAGAGAAGTTTGGTTTTAGGTTGGGGCCAGCAGAATCCACGTCGTGGGTGGGTGGTTGTGGAAACTACAAACCGATTTAAATACTACAGAGCAAAGGGCAGTTGGAGGCTGACCGGGTCAAAGCAACAACCGCCTTGGTTTCTTATATTAGAACAGGCTTAACAGTCCTGTAATTAAGGTGACCTCATGAGAAGATCTCTTCTAATGAGGTCTCATCCAGTGGCCACGTGGCTCATGTGTGGAAAGTTGAGGTTCCACCCTCCAATGGATCCCCCTAAATTTGTTATTACACCAATTGTAAATGATTCCAGATTTGTGTGCATGGTGGTTAATTTAAGAAATGGCCCACAAATCATCTACACGTAGTAAAACGATTTTGACGACCCAAAGTGAAATTGTCTAAAATTCATCATGAATTTTCAGCAATTTTCTTAAATTCATCGCAATTTTTCAAAATGTCTAAAACTCACCATGCCATTAACTTGACGTTAAATAAACTAACGGGTGTTAATATATTACCATTTTAACCTTTATAGAAAAATGTAAAATATATACAAATAAATTAATGGGTGTTAATATGTTACCATTTTAATATTTAGACATGAAAAAAGAAAAAAATTCAAAAAAATATTTTCAAATATAAAATGCATAAAAACATAAAAATTACAAAAAATATAAAATAATATAGAAATTGGAAACAAAATAAAAAATTATTTTCAAATTATAGAAACTATAGAAATTGAAAAACAAGATCAGAAAATAAAAATTGTAGAAAAAACACAAAAAATTATAGAAAAACACAGAAATTGCAAATAAATAACAAAAAATACAGGATAATTTTTAGATTGTAGAAAATAGAAAAAAATGTAAAAAAACAGACATTATAAAAAACATTGGAAATTCTAACAAAACACTAAAAATGAAAAAAAAAACAAGATAATTGAAAACTGAAAAAGACCATTTTTCCTCTACCTCACCATTCAAGGGTAATTTGGGCATGAACATTGTTATTTATGCTGACATGGACACCTCTGTTAAGAAGCATTAACGGTGCAGTAACACAAGGTGAGTTTTAGAAAATAAAAACTTACTGACATGGTGAGTTTTAGACATTTTGAAAAGTTGTGAATTTAAAAAAAATGTTGAAAACTTATGGTGAGTTTTTAGACAATTTCCCAAAGATATACAATACTTAGGATGGCAATTTCTACCCTATTCCATAGTCCTGCTGGGGTGGGTTTATTTTTGAAGGACGGATTTTGAAATGAGAACAGGTTTTGGGATTCTACAATCCTATGGATACCGGTAAGGTATAATATCAGGCTAAACATGTGCCCTCAACTTGAAACTGTCTTTTGTTATTATGATTATTGATAAGGGTAAATTTTGGAAAAGAAAATTTGATTATTCATGGAAGACACAAAAACAAGGAGCATCAAACTCTCTTTTTATATAGTTGATATAAATAGATAGATAACGCACATATGTATGCATTTGTTTGCGTGGTTTTGGGTTGGGTTGGGCAGAACTCATGTCGGGCTTGAGTTTCTATGTACTCAACCAAGCCCAAGCTTTCTAGCCGTACCCCAACCTACAACACAAGACTTCAGTCTCTGTCCATGCAAAAACTTGGGTTAGGTCAGGTTGGGTTTGAGTTTGAATTCATACAAATTGCAACCCTATTCAGAAGCTCTTGGTTTGTGTTAGGATTAAGGACTTGGGGCTTAGGGATGATAACGAGATAGGTTCAAGGAGGGATTTGTAAATTCTAAACCCTCCCCCACCTCCCCAAACCTTCCAATCTGTATCCACCCCAAAACTCGTAGTGAATTGGATTTTCAATATCTAAACCCTCATTGCACAAGAAAATACAAAACCTTGTCCGATCCTATCATCTTTGCTTGAGGGTGAGACAGGTTAGGTTTAAAACCTAGGATGAATTTCCTATTATTTCCTGCTATAGAGAAAAAGATTCATGCTTCCTCCTTTGTCAATGATCGAATTTTACTAAGACACCGACCTCGAGAGGAACGTTACCCTATTGCTTCATATGTTGTTGAAATTGTCAAGTCAATCACTATCTCGATGTAGCATATTTTAATTTTAGAAGTCAAGTGACAAACCTGCTTTGGAATAGAATTGAGGTTCTGTACGCTATCCATATATGCAGGTGTTCTAGCTCTCGCTCTCTTACAACATAACACCAAGGCATCTAGAAACTACTATCTGGATCCCTTCCCCCGGGAAATCCTACAGTTAAGTTCACTCAAATTAAAGCAATATTCGATAAACTCTTGTAAAGGAAAGTTGGTTGTTGTTCAATTCATGGATTTATTGTATCTAATCTTTCTATGTTTTCATGCATATTTGTGATTTAATTTTCCTTTGAAGGATTTCCATCATGTATACATATATGGAATGCTTTAGATTGAATGTATATATTTTGTTCTCTCGTTCTTTTTTTTTCTTTATTTAATTTTGAGTTCTTTGTTTATCTATTAATTTTGAATTCTTTAATTTTACCCAACTGGCCCAATTCATTTATTTAGGGTTTTTAAACCAATATTTAAACATTTGGTTGCATTGGGTGCACCAACAACTGCAAAAAATTAAATTGGTGCCTCACTTATAATTTATACTAATGTTTTTAACAATGAATTTCTTAAAGTTATTTTCTCACTATGATTAATTTTTAGTTTGTGATAATGACTATTAACTTATTTAGTGATTTTTTTTTAGTTGTTGATGCACCCAATGTAACAAAATGTTAAATATTGGTTCAGAAACCCTGGATAGATGAATTGAGCTAGTTGGGTATCCAAGAAACTCTGCCCTTTGTCAATGAGCAAACTTTCAATTTCAAAAATATCCTTGTTTTTTTTTCAGTTTTTCTATTTTTATACTCTATCACTCATTTTCAAACATATATTAGCATTTAAATCAATTTTAATAACTTGTACTATTATTATAAGACCAAAATACAAAGGACAACCACACATTTGGCATCATATTCAACTATTATAGAAGCCACATGGTTGGATGCATGTAGCATTGGGTTCAACTATATTTTCTTTATGAATCATGTGGCAAATTTATCTCAACTATTGATTAATAGTAACAATGTTGTATGTCATTCATTAAGACTTAAAGCTTTCTTATCAGATGGGATTCAAATCGAGGTATATTTGAATCCGTTCTAACAATACAAATTGTAGATATAGTTGGATCCGAAGATCTGAGATTGGACCTCACGAACGTTGGTTCGAATCCTAATTCATTAAGGAAGTCGGATATCCAAATATGATCTGAGCTGATTTAATTTCTGAAAAATTTAAAAATTTATTAAAAGGAAAAACATAACAGTTTCTTATATATAA